ACGTGACTGCAAAGTATGAATAGGCAGAAAATGGATAAATATATATTGTGATATTTTAAAATTCAATTGAGGAACTGTTGATGGGTAAAATACTGTAAGCAGAGACTTGACAGTGAGTACATCATCAAATTAAAGCAGAAATCTAAAATAATAAAAATGCAACATTGTCATAAAGCAGTTCTAATCACATAATGGTGTAATGCTACCAGAGGTGTTGAGTGAATATGTACCACAGTATAAACAATATGGCAATATATATTTTCATATCCTCCAACCAGAGTTGGGAGTCTTACAGTGATTGACTGATAGAAAAAAGCATAATTGAATCCATTGAGAAAATGGTTTTCTGTTTCTGTGAATTTTTTTATCTTGATTAATCGTTGATGAATAACACAACTCAAACACTTTCAATTTACAAAGATAAAACAGAACAAAACAAACTCATATTTGAGAAACACCAGAGAAGTTATGTAATGTTTGCTTAAAAAATAACAAATAAATGAATTCCTTATAAAATGGTTTCTGACAATTGATAATAAATAATAATAATAATAATACATTTATTTATATAGCACTTTTCAAAACAGGTGCTACAAAGTGCTTCACAAGACAATAATACAAGTAATAATACAATTATAAAATAGCTGTTAAAAACTGAGCAGCACAAAAATGATCAATGACAATATGGTAATAAAGTAGCACAAGTAACAAAACAAAAGTGATAAAGCAAATATATATATCTATATAGATATATAGATATCTATATAGATATATAGATATAGATATAGATATAGATATCTATATATCTATATCTATATATATATATAGTAGGAGTCGACTGCATGTCCTCTGCATGTCCTCTCAAATCAGATTTTCTTAAACCTAAAGACCCTGATGACAGCCCAGTGTCTGACAGTCTGTTAGTTCATGTTGTCTGTCAGGTCTCTTGTTATTTGACATTGTCAAGACTTTATGTCTTGAGTGTGTGATTGTTACTTCTTGAAAACTTAATGGAAGCCCCTTCCTGCATTACATTGGCTTTGTTGTGTGGCACACATGGATCCCACGAAGCTTCTCCTCTTACAGCTTTGATCCCCTGATTCAAAAACATGTTATGTCAAAGTTTATGTTTTTATTTTCCTGTGGGAAAATTGTGATGTTGTCAGACTCGGACTGCAGTCAAGAGTTACACAGAGCCTCGATCCCCCGGGGGAAATGCCTTTTCACAGAGGCCAACAGTGCCAAATTTGGACCAGGACTGAGAGCAGAAAGGAGGGGTGGGGGTTAAGGTTTAGAAGTGGGTGAGATTTTATGTATTTAGCTTGGAACAGTCCGACTCAGCTCTCCTCCACCCACGCATCATTTCCAACGTGTGATCTGATGAATGTGACATCTTGAAAGCAAAACTCACTGTTGAATATTCTTGAACTTTTTTAATTTAAACCCTTTATTCATCAAGTGTTCTGAGTATTGAGCAATGAGTTAATAGTGTTCAAATCCAGTTGACTGAACCCCAATTCACGCTCTGTTTTGACCAGAATGAAAAACAGTGTTTGTTTCTGATGTATCTGTAAAATAAAATAAAATTTTAATCAGTTAATGTGAAATGAGGGTGAGTGCCATGCTATGCAGACCTTCTATTCTACTAGGTTTACCTTGTGTTGATGAATTTGGTTCCGTGAACTTCGGGGGAGTTGTTTTCCAAACTGATATACTGTATTTATAATTTTTTTTAACCATTGCAGGTTTTCCAGTTGTGATATTACTCCTGTGGAAACCAGAACAGTGCAGTAGGGGCTTTAAGCTCAGAGAAGCAAGCTTGCGACCGGTTCAGTCCACGGACAAGCAGGATAAATCTACAGTTTGATTACATGACACAGATACGCTATAATGGGTGCAGTAACTAAGGTTACAGTTATACCCGATTCGGGTCTGGTCCTCTGGTTTCCAGGAAGTCAGATCAGCCCATATACATTAATATCAGTGATAGAAGTGACTAAAAGATCAGCTCTTACTCAGGATCAGATTGAAAACTCCAAGAGGGTGTGTTGCATCAAATCTGCTATATGTGTTGATGGAGATCATTTAATTAATTATTTAATGAAGTATTTGATTCCAGTATTATGCATACAGTATTATGCATACAGTATTGAACATCAGGCAGTGATTCTAAAATGGATACAAGTAGTAATTCATTTTCCAACTTATTGTTATAATGACCCAGTTCTGGGCCTCTGTACTGCAACAACACTATTAAATTATCTGTTTACTGGTTTAATTCAAATGGCCACCAGCTCATTATTTCATTTTCCATTTTGCTCTTCGTGCTGCTGTCTTAATGACACTGATGTGAATGCTGCTCTGTTGTGATGAAACAGACACTGTGATAATGTGCCTCCGTTTAGTCAATCATTTAATTAAACAATATTATCAGGCACAGGACAGCCGATTATTCCTCCTTTTGATTGACTATGTTCATTTTTATATCTCTTATATATTATCTTCAAAGTAATTACTTTGAATTGTCAAATAACTTAATTTATTTTAATATGTTTGTCGAAAGTAGATTATTTTATTTTTTTCAATTGTTTTTATCGGATCAATGTTAATTTGTATTTTATTATTTACATAACAAGTCAAAAAAGGTGTTTTTTATATCTTGTTCCAGCATAAGCATGGAAACAAGATTAAAATAACTCTGACTAGTGACATTTTTTGTAGCGTGGTCCTGTGAGTTGCTGCATTGTTGGTGTTTGGGAACCTGAGCGATAA